TGTTAAACATACAATAAAACTTTTTTGCTGTATAGTTGTCCTGAATTAAAATAAGTATAGCAAGTGCTCTTCTCACTTCAGTCTGTGAAGGACCGAAACAGGGGTATATATTGAAGCGCAACCAGTAGATAGCTACATAGTGTACCAATTCTATGCTCTTTAATATATAAACGAACATAAACTAGCGATTCATGTGATTCGTTAGGTTTTTTTTATTCAAATAGACTTTTAAAATCACTTTTGAATCAACATTTTTTATTATTAGGGTTCCGTCCCTCAAAAGGAAAAAAGAACCCCTGCCCTGTCTTATGTCGGTCTGTCTGATAAGACCCTTTTTCTTGAAAACTCGTGGAGGTATCAAGTTACAATTTATATCAAATGCTTAGGTCTGCAATCTCTTGAAGCTTTCGCAATCATACGCAATCAAAAGATAGAGTCGTTAATGACACATATTTTGACACTCGCAAGGGACCCAAAATAGGGTACTTCCCGTTGACCTAAAACCATGGAATTTGGCAAGTCTTATGGCACAAGTAAAAGGAAAAATTCAAAAACATGTTTTTTGCGAGTATAAACTTATTTTAATGTTTCATGCTACGAAACACTCGCTGTGCGAGTCAGACTCGATTGGACCTCGCACAGCGATTTTTAATATTTAAATTAAATTTCAGGATATGAAATCTATCACTGGTTTGGTAAGCAGTTCTGCTGAGAATAGCCGGCGAGAAATTCATCAGCTGCTCTTTTAAACCGCTTCTCTAGCATTTAATAATGAAAAAATTCGTTTATCTGCTATAGAAATACACACAAATAGTGATCCATGCGTAATACGCTTATAACGTAATATTATCCTCTATCTTCAACTGCCTTATTGGTTTAGTAGATCGCTTGTAAGGCCACTGATCCAGAGGTTTCCAGTCCCGGCTCCCAAGTATTTTCGGTTTTTGTCAAGTTGCCCGGAATAGAGAAGCTGGGAAGCGTTGTGATACCTCCGTGTCTAAAAAAATATATAAATAGGCAAAGGCGAACAGTTCAGTACTTTTTTTTCCTCTGTTTGTCAATTTTTGTTTCTTTAGTAGACATTGACGAGCTTTACGTTTTACGTTTTTTTTACGTTATCAATAAAAAAATGATTATAGTCGACCTTCGACTCCTGAGTGAACACTTGTATTATTAATTATGCAAATTTAAAATTAAACATATAATTTTCATTACAATTAATATATGGCTTATAAAGTACAGAATTCTATATTAAAATTAAATTTATTGCAAGACAATCTGAACAGATAGAACTGACAGCCTACTGTGGGTACTCGGAAGTCGAATTTAATTAAATATTATTAATGTATCATATTAAAACATAATTATATTAAAATATATATTTACAATAGATTCATCACATACTTCCACCTTTCGGATATCAAGAAAATGTTTGAACTGTTATGGCATTTAGTGTTATAACCAGTAAAAGAAGAAAGACGTTGCTGAAATAAATATATACATATAATATTCTCTTGATATACCAGAAAGCTCTAATATTTTCAGTCTATATCACTCAGTCAAAAGCAACACTATTAAGTTGCCATTAGAAAACATCAATTTGTATGAGCAATTAGCGTCACTTATAATCGAATGTTTGAAGTTTACCTTCAGAACAATACATACAATATACATTATAATTAATACATCCATACTAATATTATAAATGTGAAAGTGTGTTTGTTTGTTTGTCTTTCTTTCACGTCGAAACGGCTTGGCGGATTGGCGTGATTTTTTTTTGTGGGAGATTTTTTTACCGCGGGAGATTATCTAATTCCCACGGGGACACACGTTATAATACAATCGAAAAAAATATTTATGATCAGATTTTTTTTGTAGTTTTAGCGCGAGTGAAGCCGCGGGTTCTGCTAGTACATATATATTATGTAGAATCATACATGTATACATGTAAGTATATATAATTTTCCATCAACATAGCATAATCACCTAAAGCTAAACACAAAATAATGAAATAGTTTGATGATTTATTTCAAGCACATTCCACGTCGGTCGGAACGGCGCTCGTGACAGCGGGAGCTTCACGGACCTCACTGTCACTATGATATTATATATGTACTGATAGCAGGCACATACATTATAAACTGTTCTAATATAAGCTCTTCCTTTTGATGTTTTGTTCCAGCTTTATTTCTAAAACTTGGAAACTCTGGCTTTATTAAATGCAAGCGACTCACCCTCGCTTCGCTCGGGTTCGTCCCCGGCTTAATTCCCCATAAAAAACTTTCATCCCCATTTTCACCCCCGTAAGGGATGATTCGTGGAATAAAATGTATCCTATGTCCTTCCCAGGGTTTCAAACTATCTTCTTACCAAATTTCATCTATATCGGTTCAGTAGATCTAGAGATTACCCCCTACAACGTCACAAACTCACAAACTTTACCTCTTTATAATATTAAAAATTAGTATAGGTATAGACGAGATGGTTAAGTATATTTGCGTTTTGACTTACTATATACATATTTCTTACACATATTTTTCCACACAAAATTTCAAATGAGATTTGTTGTGTCCTTAATTTTTATTTTCGTGTATAACTTATGTCTTAAAGACGCTTGTTACGATTTAATTGAAGTCAACATAATCTCTGCTCCGAATATAGAGCAACGTACTTAGTAAGAAAAGATAGGAAATCTCCAGTAGATACATACAGATCTCTCACTAATTGTTTTATGTATACTTATATAACTCACTATGGAACTGTCATGTCCAAAAATATATATAACAAAATTATTATTATTCTATCCATTTTACAACAACTCGCAACTCGATGACGCTTCAATATAAAGAGAATATTTCAACGTTAATAAACTGCTATTGCCACTAAAACACAACAACACTAGATTGTGTATAGCTGTTATAAAGTAAGCTCTTATAAAATAGTTCTTTAAATTCTATTTAAGCAACAATCATGATAATCAATAGTTTAAATATAAATAATACACAATATATTTTTTCTGCTGACGCTACATGCGTACGCGCAACAAGTGCCCAGAAGCCGCGTATGACGTGCGCAGCGTGGGGCCAATCTGTGAGATCTCACTGTCTTCCTACTATCGCTTGCCCGCAACTTGATCAACTAAATAAACCTCTTGATACCATCTATTTGGTATATCTTTTGATTAGATTTTATTATTTCGCATGGTAAGGTATTAAATATTAAAAGTTATAAATTATTGTATTCAGTCTTTTTTAACGTCCCTCTGCTGGTTACGGGCCCCCCTTCAATACGAGGGTGATCAGGCCATAGTCCACCATGCTGGCCAAGTGCGGGTTGGCGAACTTTACATGTCGGGATTTGAACCCGCTTCACTCAGTTTTCCAAGCAAGCGCATTTCCACTGGGCTAACACTGCCTTATTAAAGTTATAATTACGAATTATATTTCCATTTTTGGCATTAAATGATTGCTACGCTTACATGGTAAGTATGAAGACAGAGAGAAGACTATGAAATCTACTGAAGAAGCAAAAGACACAGTAACATTTATAATATTTTTAATGTTATTTTTCAATGAGAATCACATATTATGTAATTACCTTATTTGTTTTGATTTTTCTTTTTTACCGACTTCCAAAAAGGAGGATGTTCTCAATTCGTCGGTTTTTTTATGTACATATATGTTCATCACTGATTACTCGAAGACGCCTGAACTGATTTGGATTTTTTTGTTTCAAAGGGTATACTTCCTAGGTGGTCCCATTTAAATTTTATCGAAATCGGTCAAGCGGTTTTTAAAAAATCAGCAATATTATATTTTTTAAATCAATTGCTTAATAGAATATGTTATTAAAACACTTTCTTCTAACAAATTACCTGCTTATTACGTCTACAATAAAAATGGACAAATAAAAACTTCAAAAACATAATAAAACCCGACTTCCGGGTACTAAAATGTAAAAAATAACCGCGATAATAAGTAGCCTATGTCACTCTCCAGCCCTCCAACTACTATCTCTACACCGCAAAAAATCACGCTAATCCATCACTATGTTTCAACGTGAAAAAAGGACAAACAAACAAACACACTTTCACATTTAATATATTTTACAATAATAATAACTGTGGATAAATGGATAATAAGTACTTTAGAAATTTAAACATATAATAATGTCGACACACTGATGTAAGCAAATTAACGAAAAATAATCGATTACACACGAGATTATTACGATCAACATTATAACAATACAACATTTCATTGACACATTAAAATACTACATTTTACATGATCTACATATATATATAAATATATGTATATATATATATATATATATATACACACATATATATGTATATATATATATATATATATATATATATATATACTAGTACCTGGGCCACCGAGCTTCGCTCAGAGTTTTTGGTCAAAAGTATAATTTTCTTTAAAAAAATCCTTGGATAAATACAAAAAAAATAAAATAAATTATACCTTTTTATCCAACCTGGATTCGTACCCAGACACTTATTCAATCTTGCGCCTTGGCCGCTCGACCATGATGCTTATGCCCGAGCGTGCGAATTTATCGAACATAATATTTTGCGTGGAATAATGCAAAAGAAATCCGCATGAAAATTTGAAAACACGCGTTTTCCCAGACATAAGACTAATCTAGATCAATTTATCGCCCCCGAAACCGCTTGTGTACTAAATTTCATGAAAATCGTTGGAGCCGTTTCCGAGATTCAAACTATATAGATATATACAAGAATTGCTCGTTTAAATATATTAGATATAAATATATTTTTTTAAATTTTGGGTACCAATCGTTTATAATTTGAATTGTCAAATAAATTATCTATCACATACCTATCGCAAAAAAAAAAATGTTTTCTAATTAATATTTTTAAGGTAAAATATTAATTTAAACAGACAAAATATTTTTTTACTAACAATATTTATTTACTAGAGATTTACTAAACATATAACATTTAGGTTCTATTCTTTCTTTTCGCTACTATCCGCGGCTGGCTTTTCCGAGCGTTTTTTCAACTCTTCTATTTGTTGCTTTGCTTTTTGTGCAAAATGTCCTTCTTCGTGCATCGTCTGTGGATGAACAAATCCTGGCATTTTAACTGAATCTATTTGTTCTTTCTTAGAAGGCTCCTTAGAGTCAGACCTTTTCGTATAACGTCTACATATTTTTACATTTAAATTATAAAAATATCTTTTACTGCATAAACTGTAACTTTTGTATAATAAATGAGGATAGAAAGACGCGATCAATGCTAAAAATTTCATAGTATATAATGAGAATCAAAACTTGTATTTGATGAAATTATTGACACATTTTGAAGTAAAAACAAACAGATAACAGATTATTATTGCTAGTATATTGTACAGGTTGTCAAAACAGAAGCAATATGTAGGCAACCTTTGCAGATATATTGGTAAAGACATTGATATATATATATATATATACTTATGTATATATGTGTGTGTGTGTGTTACATTAAAACCTATTATGTTATGTTAAATATTTATTATGTCTTGGCTGTACTAAATATTAATTTTAATAATTACCTCATTCAACATGACTACTACCTACGATAAAACGACTGCACACGTTCAGTCCGAGACTAGCACTACCGGCATACATTTTAAGGAACTTTTCCCCCTAATTGAAGATAGCATAATATTGAACACGGTGAAATAAAGATAAAAATGCCATTTACATCATTAAAAGGCTAGGAAATTTAAAATCGATAGTAAATCTGTCCTGCAACTACGGTAGTCTATTCAGTTTTCAGTATTTTTTTGTACGTTTTTTGTAAGTCATCTCCAACTTTTGGAGCCTTGATCTATTAATTGAAAACAAAATCTACATTGTCTGGAAAGTAGTGGTGGCATGAAACAAATTGATAACATTTTATAATGGCAACTAATAAAATAAATCAATTTGCCATTCATTATTAGTTGAGTTAGATTGTATTACTCGTAGTTGCCATAAAAAATTCAAACAACATATAACTTACGTTAAATTTAATGATTATTAATTATCGACACCTAATTTAAATAAATAAGTAGATTAGGTATTTTACCAATATTTTTTTCAAAAATCATTGTACATGGGCAATATTTGGGACTTTCTAAAGCTCCAAGAGAATAAGACCGTAATAAAGCATGTCATAATGTATGGATCAAAATGTTAGGAAGCATGAATGAAGGGTACATGAGTGAAATATGAACGTTAAATTGAATGTGTAGATTAACTATAAGAAACGAATGAACTCAGGCGTAAGTAGTAGGTACTGTAAGTACGTGTTGTATGTATGTAGGTGTATGTATATTTTAATACGTAAATTAAACATTAAATAAAATATAAATATGATTAAAATATGAAGTTTTAAGTGAGGTGTTTTTTTTCAAGTTTTTTTGCTAAAGTTTATTATATAAATATGATACATTAAATATATTGTGTTAAATGTACATATAAGTCATCTATACTACCCATATCAATATATCAATGTTTAAAATACCTTACCCTTAAGTTGAAACTTAAAGGCTTTTTTTAGTTGATGTAGGTTTTTAACTAAGTCCCCCCCAACGTGCGTTCACCTTGTCGTGGTGGGGGGGCTCAGTAGTGTACTCGCGAAGCCAAGAAACGCACAGGGAGGTGGCCCGCTTCGGTGGGCGGTGAGAGGTGGCCTTCTTCGGAGGGCGGTGTACCATGCGGGTTGCTCCTGGTACTTCTCTGATAGCAGAGTGGACCGTGGAGCAACCCCATGGTTGTTGTGGTCTGCTTCGGCAGACCTGCCGTCGGGGCGTCGTAGTTGAATGCGTAAGCGATTCTGCGACGCCCCATTAAGACGGGGGAAGGTTTTGTTGGGTTTTAGTGGGCAGTACTGACTGTATTACGCCGGTGAGTCCCACACCTCGTGCGTAAATGCATTTCCCAACGTTAAAAAAAAAAAAAAGTTTTTAACTAAGATCATCATTGAAAGTCAGTGTCGGAGGCTCTCCAAAGTGAAACACGTTACACGTGTCACTTAAAACCTAAGGTAAGGGATCGTCCATTAATCACATGATGTTTTTTAGCAACTTTTTAACTCTCAACTCCGTCCCCCCCCCCTCCCCCCTCCCCCCTAGTGATACGTGGTAAGGTTTTAGACTAACCTAGGAGGGTTAGTCGAAAACCTCACCACTACCCAAAATCACGTGTTTTTTTTTTGTATAAAGTATTCTAAAAATTTTCAGAATATTACTTTAAATACAGGTATGTATAATCTAATTTAATTCTAGAAATGAAAAATCGCGAGGAACTTATATCTATTTAATGCAAATGTGGAAATTGGTTAAAAAACAAACTGTATAAATAAATTGTGATAAAGTGCACATAAACTTAAGTAAATTACTAATATCAAGTAACACGAGCTTTCAATTGATACAGCTAAATACAGTATAACTAATTCGTTAAGTCGCTAGCGATTGTCGTGGCGCAGAATTCTCACGTGCAAATACACTTGTTAGCCAGAATACCCGGGTTCAAGGTTTTATCTTACGTAATTGTAAAATTTTTAATTCCTATACAAAAATCAAATTATATAATAGTTACGTAAGAAGTCAACTCGAGTACTGTAGTACAGTTTGGAGACCACACTATTCCACACATTCACTGCGTTTAGAACGAGTTCAGAAAAGATTTCTTTGGCATCTCACTCACTCAGAAGGTATCTTGGACAGAAAGAACTCATATAAAGAAAGGTTGACACACTTCAAAATGAAATCACTTTCAGAACGTAGGGATGCCTTAGATATTATTTTTGTTTCCAAAATCTTAACCGCATTTAGTGATTGTCCCAACATACTAGCACAGTTGCGCATTAACGTACCATCAAGATGTCCTCGTAATTCCATCTCTCCTTTCTCACTTCCCATTCGCAGAACCGTACTTGGAGCTAACTCACCCATTCCGAGATTTAGTCGATTAGCTAATTACTATGCAAGAGAATTCGACATATTTTCCGATCCCCCTAGTAAAATTAAAAAAATATTACTGTTTATGAAGTAGACCCAGCTGTGAGACAAAAATCTTGTATTGTTTGTATTATTATTTTTTTATTTTATTGTTTTATTTAAAATTTACCTTTTTTTGTCAAACGCCTTTTTCTGACTTTTCCTGTCTTTATGTATGCGGTGTTTATCATTATAAGTTGCAAACTGTAAAATATCATTGTATATGTATGTAATCGTGTATTGTGTACAACTTGATAAACCAAATAAATAAATTAAAAAAAATTATGCACTCTAATAAAAATGTCTAGACAAATATTAAGATTGCAGTATCTGAAGCAAATACTAGCTCTCTCGCACATGCTCGTTATACAAATGCGGAGAAGGGAGATCTGGAATAAAGCTTTCAGCACCGTCATGGCCGACATACTCTGCTACGACGTCATAGCCGTCGATAACCATATTACTCCATACTTCTGTGAGAACTTCACCAGCCTTCTGAATTCAAAATCCATCCACCACCCGCCCTGCGTTGTTTCGTGATTTTTTCCGAACTCCCTTCTCGCCATTTCGAGCCTCACGTGATTAATGGATGATCCCTAAGTAGTGTGATAATTAGGTATTAAGTTCAACTATCTATTTTTAAATAGATAAAAATAGTATACCTACTAATACTTTTACTGCCTAGAGGGTATTGGGCTTGTAGTGAGGGGGTCCAACAAATAATGAGCCTAATGCTGGTATAATTATTTGCCCTGGGAAATGCAACTTTGTTAGGCATCACAGATTGGGAAATGCATTTACGCACGAGGTGTGGGACTCACCGGCAAAGCCAGTACTACCCACTAAAACCCAACAAAGCCTTCCCCCGTCTTAATGGAGCGTCGCAGGATCGCTAACGCATTCAACCACGACGCCCCGACGGCAGGTCTGCCGAAGCAGACCACAACAACCACGGGGTTGCACCAAGGTAATTTTATTGTTTAATTTTAATCATTCCTTTTCAAAAAAATCAAACTTATTAGATATAGATATTTCACAACTTGTATATGAAGTGTTTCCCATATAAATAAAAATAATCATTAAAAAGCATATAAATGTATTAGAAATGTTCGTAGTCCCTAAGATGAGTAGTTTTGTCTTAGAATCACCTGAGTGGAATTAAACTCTTCTCCCTAATTATTTTTTTATAATTTATCATTTAAATAATAAATCGTTAATTTACGTAATCGATAATTCTTAATTGGTAAAGTATGTTTGTTTGTTTTTAAAAAAGGAGATGGATATAGAATTTTTAACCGGTTCTAATCATAAACTAATACAAAAGTGTAAATAGCAAGACCCTGAACAAAGAGAAGACGGTAACTAATTTATTAATAATTAATATTATAAATAATATATATTACTTCAATTTTTATCATGATTTTATTCATATATTATTCATCATTTATTAGATAAAATATCAATCGTGTTTTTCTTCTTTTTGTTTCACATCTCCAATTTTACCTTCTTTGAGTTTCTTTTTTATTTTTTCAAGCAGTTCTCGTTGTTTATTAAAGAAAAATTGTTCTTCTTGTGCGGTACCATATTGGCCTAGACTACCACCAGATTCTCTGATGGACCCACCACCGCCACCGCCTTTCCCGGCACCAGATCCTGGAGTACCAGTTGGGTTAGTGTAACTCTTGTTCCTAACATAATTCAGGAGTACATTCTTCTGCGAAAGACTCAATAGATTGTTATTTTTGATGAATAATCTGTTCCAACTGAACTTGAACACTTGAAACAGATTGAAATTTCGGATGGACATTTTTATTTAGTGACAAGTGTCAATAGCACTTTCGTTGTCAATAGTGACATTTTTATTTATCCAACCAGTGTATTAGAGAAAGTAAAACGTATATTGGTATTTACAAGTATTTAATTTATAACTCTTCTCATTGAGAGTAATGAAATACCTTTTCTAATCTGTCCTATTGTTAGACAAAAATATATATTTTTTTAAGTTTTTATTTTTTCATTTTTAGTGTTGACGTAATAAGTAGGTAATTTGTAAGAAGAAAGTTTTTTAATAACATATTCAATTAAGCAATTTGTTTAACAAAATATTTTATTATTTGTAGATTTTAAAAAAAAACCGCTTAACCGATTTCGATAAAATTTAAATGGGCACACCTGGAAAGTATACCCTTCGAAACAAAAAAAATTGCCAAATCGGTTCAGCCGTCTTCGAGTAACGGTGAACATACATAAAAAAAAGATTCCGACGAATTGAGAACCTCCTTCCTCCTTTTTGGAAGTCGGTATAAAAATTGAATCATATTCGTAATGTCAAAATAACAACTTTTTAATTTTTAGCAACTAAATATGAAATTATATACGGTACTCATAAGAAAAAATAAAAATTTCAAACAATTTTTAAATTTTTTATCTGTTTGTCTGTCTGTTTGTTACGGCTAATCTCCGAAACGGCTAGACTGATTTTGACAGGACTTTCACTGCAAATATCTGATGATATAAGGAGTAAATTAGGCTACTTTTTTTTTTTAAAGTTAGGATTCCGCTCAAAAAAAAAATTAAAACCTACCTAGTGACGAACCCGAGCGAAGCGATGGTAAGTCGTTAGTACCTAGTTAAGAAATATTACAAGTACACTACTTAGCGTACAGCATTATATTGATAACGTAATTTGTTTCAGTTAATTATTGTAGAATAATTTATCTCAGTTAGTTAGTTACAATACATTTTACATTTCTTAGTTTTGTTTAATTAAAACTGTTAATTAGCACAGTTATAAAGTTAAACGAAGTTTTCATATAGCTTATTCTGTGTCGTCACATTCTATGGTAATGTTTTTTACCATGGCGTTATTTCAGGTACGAAAATATTAGATTATTATCTACCACATTTATGTCTTATTCACGCTTACCTAATATATAACTACTAGCGACTCACTCTCGCTTCGCTTGGCTTCGTCCCTAGCTTGCCTCTCAATACAAATTTTCATCCCCATTTTCACCCCTTTAAGCGATGATTGCCGAGGTAAAAAGTATCCTATGTCCTTCCAGGGTCTCAAACTGTCTTCTTACGAAATTTCATCTTAATCGGTTCAGTAAATCCAGAGATTAGCCTCTACAACGTCACAAACTCACAAACTTTACCCCTTTTTAATATTACTATAGATAAAGTATACAGTTTATATTTTAAATTTTATTTGCAGGTTCTGCTATTGCACTGTTTAGTACTCTCCATATTTGCGGAGTAAGAATACTTATGATTTTAGAATAATATTTTCAAATATTTATTTTTATAATTTAACATAGTATCCATTCGTTTTTGCAGAATATCAGCAGATACTAATTCATTATTAGAATATTATAAAGAGACAACAGAAGAATGTTATTGTGTGCCTATAAAAGATTCCGAAATGCGTGTGTCAGAAATACTCAATTCAGAGTTGCAACAGGACGAAAGATTAGTAGTTTATTTGTACAAGAATAGCCATAATGAAGTAACCATTTACATACCGAATAGTGAAAAACAGAAAGTTTTACCGGAATTTACTCTAGACAATAACGATTTACTGAAAAAAAACACAACGGTCAATACTAATAACTTATTCTACTTAAATAAATCGGATTTGATGTTACATGAGAGCAGTAACAGCCTAGATATTAACAGTAATCAATTACTAGGTATTCGACCGGATAACATTATTTTATCAAATCAACCATATTTAATTACAGGCTACACACAATTTTTGCAAATACCGCTGAATTTTCAGAATATACCAAATTGTTGTGGCAATATAGTCATGTTACTCCAAAATCTTTTTGAAAAACATTCACATCTACCGATCAACACTAAGGAGATCCCTGAAAATGATCTGAAACCAAATGAAAACAAGCAGCCCTCAAACGTAGATACCCTGCATCCAGAGGACGTATGGGATTATATAATACCGAATCCGCGTGAAGAAAATATACCTTTAAATCCGAATAGTATACACGATGTATTGGATTTAATAATACCTCAGTCAAATGAAGAAAAGCCTTCAAATTCAGATAAACTTAATCCACAAGATGTATTCGATTTATTGACACCTCCTTCAAATGAAGAAAAGCCTTCAAACTTAGATAATGTTCATCCACAAGATATTTTGGATTTAATAATATCTCAGTCAAAGGAAGAAAGTCCATCAAACTCAGATAGTGTTTATCCACAGGATGTTTTGGATTTAATAATACCTCCATCAAATAAAGAAAAGCCTTCAAACTCAGATAATGTTCATCCACAGGACATGTTACATCATATACTATTGGAGATAAATAAAAACAAGAAGCCCGCAGATTTGAATAACGTTAATATACAGGATGTATTGGAGTCAGAGGCAGAAATTAAACCTTTAAATCCAGGTAATAATTACCAAGTAGATATAGATAGTAATAACATAGATTTTCAAGATCTAATGGATCACCAAAATTATGAAAATCCAATAATACAAGATTTAGTGGATTACCATAATGATGAAATTCCAGTTACACAAGGTTTAGTAGACAAACAAAAATATACTACGCCCTTAAATCAAGACCAAAATCCTGTCTTAATTATTTATGGTCCTAAACAACCGAGCAATTTTGGAAAATATAACGATGACACGTTATTGTTCTTAAATAAGTACATATCGAGTCTTAAAGAAAAACATACGCATCTCCTTAATCAAAATAAAACATCGGAGATTGAAGGGCATAATGGACCCTCACAAATAAACGATCAATATATAATTAGTGAATTAAATCGACCACAAATGAATTATCGACCTCCTAGTAATGCTTTTGGACATATTACATTTGATCAATGGTTTTTACTGCAAGTTAATCTTTTGAAGAAATATAACTTCATCATGTCATACGCTATAAATATAGAAATGTTAAAAATCCTTTTACAAAATACATTGTACGAAAATGGAATAAGTATAACAAATACAGGTGATTTAATTGATTTTAATGGTGAAAGATTAAGTATTGACAGTCTAGAACTGCGACCAGTTCTAATAGGTGATCCTATAAAATATAATGAGTTTCTGTTATCACATGATTGTGTCACCGCAAGTAAATTTCCATATAGAGAAGAGATTGTTGTTAAACTTTCCAAACCACGTCGATTTTTAGGATTGATATCGCTGAATGAAGCGTCTTTCTTTGATACTAGAAAATCAGGTTCCCCTATTTGTCCGCCATCTTCCAATGGAAATAGCGTGAGTAGTATTCCGATCATACCAGAGAGTTTAGTCGAGAATAGGAATGGTCTATGGAATAGACGTAGCTCTCCAAATGATTTGCCAGCTTATCCTGACAAACTCTGGAGATCTGAAAAAACTAACGTTAAAGCAAATGACAATGGTTTTGAAGATATATCTTCGCCAAGGGGACTCGGCTCAGAGGATAACGATTACAGTGACATCGGGCTTAGAATAATAGGCGGTCAAGCAGCAACTAGCAGTGGCACGCCAGTCAGCAGCAAAGGGAGGAGATCAGTAAATAAATAACATGAAATACGATAGTATATGAATTGTATAATTATTATTATAGTGATACACTAAAAATAAATCTAATTATTTTACATTTACTTATATTATTACATTATCATAACCAGTGAAATACTATGTATCAAATGAATTATTAATAAAATTATAATAATTATATTGCTTAATATGCATTTTAATGGGTATTAAATTTTTGAGAGCGCCACCTATTGCATAAGTATCAAACTTTCTTGAACTGCAATTAAGTAAACACGGTAAAAGCTTACAGCGCCATCTTTAAAACACATATGAAACTATATAAATACAGTGCACATAATTGATAACAGATGTCGCTTACATTAATATTAAATATATACTTTTTGATCAGAAAACTTTAGTAACAATATTTTATTATTTTAATAAAAAGAAACCTATATATATTTAAAAAATATTTATCAAATGTAAATCTGAAAATATTAAAATTTAAAACAGTTGCAGTGATCAAGGCTCAAGCACCAAGTATAGCAACTAGTAAGCACTAGTTAAAGTAGTACCCACTAACCAGTCGAGTTCAGGTTTCAACTTAGTCAGTCAGTGACCGAGTTGATCGACGGGTGGAGTGTTGTCGAGCGCTAAAAATAACATCGAAACTTTAAATAAAAAAACTTTGTTGTGACGATGAAACAATATCTCAATAAAAGAGAATCAACATCATCTATTTACAAAGTTATGTGTTAATATATTTCGGTTTCATTTTCGCGGTATTCTGTGAATGAACCAACTTGTATAGTCACGAAAGGATGTTGTTAGTGTGCTGACCAAATATACGCCTTTTTTTGAAAATTAATGGAATTGCATTACTGGTAAGTCACTTAAAATAACCTAAGTTCAAGTTAGGTTGGCATTACTCTATTTTTATATCTAAAGTCGGTAATAATTTTATAATATTCCCTTTGCAGCTTCGTTCTAAAGTTGCAGTTTTCAGATTTGTGTGTATTTGTTTTCAGAAAATAATTTTGATATTTTTGAATATTGGTACAAATCTATGTAAATAAAAAAAATGTTTATTTTTTGTCAGTAATTGTTAAATAATTTTTAATTATTATTATTTATCTAAACAATAGACCTAAATGGATTTAAAATGTCCATATTTATATGAAGACATGTTATTATTTATTAGTTAATATAAATACATATATCAAAAGAACTTACACAAGAATTCTATGAGACCTAAGGTAAGATATTGCAACGTTTAGTCCAAACAACCTTGACCACTCGTCTGATTGCTATTTAAAAAATATATACTTAGTAATTATGCAAACAATAATAATAAAACAACAAAACGATTAATAAACAAAACTTTATAAATTTAAAAAAATACCATAAATTAAATTTATAAGAAAATCATCAAAAATAACGACTTCCTTATATTCTATACAGTATTTTATTCGAATCGATGGCTTTATTATGTTTTAACTTTGATTTATTCGATGATTTATTCGAGTAGATATTTTTAATAGATACTAGCATTGCCCGCGGCACCGCCCGCGTTCAGATGACTAAAAACCAAATTCTTAGGTTTTACATATTAGTATACTCTTACATTGCAGTTTTTGTATTTTTTCCTCAGAAATGAGACATTTTCCCAGGGTAAAAAGTATCTCATATGTTGACCCGGATAACCAGCTATCACCATACCAAATTTTATCAAAATCCCTCCAGTGGTTTTTCTGTGATGCGGTGACACATCATTATCATCATCATCTACATTTTTTAGAATTTTTGTCTGTCTCTCTGTCAAGTAAAACCGCTGGTGAGATTTTGATGAAGTTCGGTATGATAGCTGATGATGATGTTAGCTGGTTATCCGGGTCAACATATAGGATACTTTTTACTGCGAAAAAATATCTCATCTCTGAGAAATGTATACCAAACGTTAAAACGTAACTAGGGACGAACCCGAGCGGAGCGAGGGTGAGTCGCTAGTTATATAACAATAAATGAACCTTTTAATGTATTATGTTATAAATAACTTACAACTATAATTTGTCTGTATTGTCACCTTATCTTGTTTACCATTTGATGAATTTATTACAGAGATAAATAATTAAGAGGATCGTGCCGATGATTATTTGATATCTTCATTGCTTTTTAGGTTAAATTTATATGTTTTATTATATTTTAGCTAACATAAAAAAAATTATATGTAGATAAAACATAGATCCAAATTTTGCAAATATTAAAGCACATAATAATAAAAAGAAATCTTTGATATATACTAAAAATGTCGTTAGTATAAACTAGAAGATAGGATGCAAAAAGAGAACGTCACATTTTGTTGTCTATCTGTCCGTTTGTATGTCAGAGTTATTCTTATTATACTCGAAAGCTTCTCGATTTAGGAAGGTATCTTCTTTAAACTAATATGTAAAAATTCTATGAAATTACAAAATTACACCACCTTTAAGGTATACTTGTATAGGGAATGATAAAAGCAATTCGAGTTTACATAAAGCACGCAATAAAATAAACGCGATAATTCTTTAAAAAGGGACATATTGGTAGATAAGTCATCATTATTTTTCGTCATAACTTAATTTTTTGGAGATGATGGCATTCCCAAGGTTATTTACGGTTAAAAGTTAAAACTGAAATCTAACGAAAAGTCGCACTATATTTTTTAACTAGGTACTGTTCAAAATATCATATACATATTTATCATAAAATATAATATCTGGATAATCAACCGTTCGGTCCATGATGCAGATTGGCTCTTGGAGGATTCAATTAAACCTAAAATTTAACGGATATAAACAAACCCATACATCAAAGTTAGTATCGGAATCTTTACACGAATATAACTTATGCGATCAGTATACAAATAGACGAAACGTTTATGAATAGTTAATAAACTAAATAAACTAGCAGTTTGAACACCTTTCATAATATGTATTTATAATGTAGATCAGCTATGCGTTTTTTTCGCCTTAACGGGTCCTCTGAAGCATGTCAATGTTGCCATTGCAAGATATTAAGGTAAGGTAAGGCAAGGTAATTCACCACGTTAAAATGTCTAAATATAATAATATTTAGTTCAAACTCCAATTTAGATAACCTTTCATATAAAATTAATGTACATAGGTATTTTTATTTTTCAATACAACTATAAAATCCCGTTAAAACAGATTAGCCATTTTTGTCCTTTATCCTTCAACGCACTTTTTCCCTAGATAAAAGTAGGTAGTAGGTAGGTAGTTACCTTCTCGCCTAAATCCTTTACCGACAGGCAAAGTCCCGATATAAGCTGTTACCCCGTTCCGTAAATTAGTGCGTACAATAATAAGAGCGTGTTAAAAAGAAAAACAAGATTTCTTTAAACGGTTGCTTGAATTCAAATTAAATGGTAGCTATTTTTTATAATACAAACGCACAATTCAATTTTATTTATAAGTATACATTTTACAACGTGTTTGTACCTTTTTTTGTTGATAACTTTGAGATGTAGTGTGTGGGTCACCTTAGTCATTTTGGAAGCTAAGACGTTAAAATCTGCTAGGTATTCAGAATATGGTTGTAGCTTGCGCATATTATCTGATGACATCCCACGTGATGATGAGGGTACCGTTTATTGTAGTGGGATCCGGTGAGTCCACACATCCAATTGCAACCTTCGGAAAACAGCGAGAACATTATTAAATACTAGCGACTCACCCTCGCTTCTTTCGGGTTCGTCCCTAGTTTAATTCTCCATACGAACGTTCATCCCTATTTTCTCCCCCTTAAGAGATGATTTCCGAGATAAAAAGTACCCAGAGATTACCTCTTACAATGTCACAAACTCACAAACTCTACCTGTTTATAATATTAGTATATAATTTACTAGCGACCTTTCGCTTCGCTCAGTTAACGTTTTACTCCAGCACATAGTATAACTGTGTACTAAATTTCATCTAAATCTGTCCAGCCTTTTCAGCTTGAAGAAGTAACAGACCTACTTACACATTAAAGTCTTTGGTATTTATAATAGCGCTAGCAGAACCCGCGGCTTCGCTCGCGCTGAAACTACAAAGAGAAACTCTCAACAGGAAGGTTCCATGCAAATTTTCATCCGCTATTTGACCACATTATGGGATGAATTTTTAAAAAATGCTTAAACACGTATTTATGAATTGTATTGAAGAGCATTAATACCAAGTTTCAAGTTAACATGTTTTCCCGTGGGAATGAGATAATCTCCCGCGGTAAAAAGTAGCCTATGTCACTCTCCAGCCCTTCAACTGTCTCCACACGAAAAATTACGCCAATCCGTCGTTCTGTTTCGACGTGAAAGAAGGACAAACAAACAAACACACTTTCACATTTATAATATTAGTATGGATATTTTTAAGTAACAATTTCATCAGTGAACGTTGACTAAGCATCGATCTTGTCACTTACAACGCTTGCAGAATACGGAGATGATTTCGTTACAGATAGATGTAATTTTATAAGTTGACAGTCACTCAGTATAAACATTTGATATATGAGAGAAATAAAGCAGATTTACACTATAGATAACGACAAGATTTTTTTATATACTTAGTACGTTCAATGCCGTACTTTATAATGAATTTAATATCCCATCAAACCATAAATGTGAAAATGGGAGCCAAGTTCAATGTTAAGAATAAGCGTAGTTGTCAACTTCACCGACAAAAGAATTGAGATATAAATGGGTGCCAATTTATGTAGATAATCTTGAATTTTTTCATAAGAACAGACAACATGCTAAAATAATTTTAAAACACAATTTCTTGTTTTTTTTTTTTTGCTACAAAAGTGTTTGTTGTTTATAAATAGAACTTCTTAAATTTGAACAGTCGAATTATTTACACAGAGTAGATAACTTAGGATAAATTCAAGTTCAAGTTTTGACTTGGCTAGTTTTTACCAGTAAAGCAAGTTTTTAGAAGAGTGAGATATGTTGATCTTACAATATAAAAACAGTAACTTGCGTAAAGCATAAAGAAGATATAAGTGAT